GCCTGGGCGCGGCTGCCCTGGGAACAGGGCGGGGAGGAGGCCCGCACGCCGGCGGCCGTGGAGCGCGGCCGCCCCGGCTCCCCGCTGCCCTTCCCCAAAGGCTTCTCCCTTTCCCCAAAGCGGGCGCGCACCTTCGCCCGCCGACCGGCGCCGTTAGCGCAGCACAGATCTCAGTGTCCCTTAAAAAGAAAAAAAAATGGTTGGACCTAGCCAAATTCCACCTAAAGTAGCTTTTACGATAGTGAAACCCACAGTGAAGTAACGTCAGCTCGTCTCCTAGCATGAAGATTTTATCCTTCACTCCAAACATCCTCTAAGAAATTACTGCAGATAGAAACCAAAAATCAAAATCTAGTAATAAATGGTGAATGGCAGTTAGGCATCTAATCAGCATTTAGGCTTTGACAGTCTCCCTCACCCATCTAATACTCCCTTCGCTTGCACTGGAATTATATTAGCTCCTCCGCACAGCATTTTGAGAGAAGATGTTACAGAAGTATTATAAAGCCGTATAAAAAAACCTCAACATCCCCACAACGAAATCACTGTAGCACAGAAAGCATCAAGAACTCTGAAGACTACAAAAGCTACATCTGGAAAATTTGCCGTGATGCAGTGACTGCATGCATAACTCAATTAACGTTAAATGAGCTAGACTGCTTTTACCAGCAGCAATCTAGCTGCAGTATCAAATTGCTGAGAACTTCTGCCTTTTACATTTATTTCTTAATATTTTCTTGTTGTAAAAATAGAGAATGCAGGACGTGACTCCATTAGACGCTACTAATAGCGAGGGAGCAAAACTTTTTTCAAGAGGCACAATATACACCCGCGCATTTACAAAAATTCTGCATGAAGAGCACATGCGCCTTCTTTCATATTGGGTAGTCCTCCGTCAAACCTGGAATTCCACCTTGTTTGCTGAACACTGACCTAAACGCAGTAGAATTCGGGAGTAGCTATTCAGACGAAACTGCTCACATGCCCACACGTGCCAAGCTGACAGAACACCATGTTCATCCAGACAGGTAACTGTAACAGAATGCCCCCTGGGATTACAAACTTATTACTTGGCCAAATCGGTTCAGGAAAAAGTAGCATTTATTGTCAACAGACAAATTACGTCGGTGATTTTTTTCTTTATCATATTTATTTCCAGAGATGCCACAGTTATTCACAGGGTGAGGAAAATCTGTCTTCTTCTGCACCTCATCATACACCATTTTAAAAATGTATTGCCTTCTAAATAACTGTTTCCTTTCTAAATAACTGGATTTGAAGGTATTGCTTTGTTCTCCAATAAAAATGTGTCATCAGATACAGACCTCATTCACAGTCAGGAGAATACAACTCTCATACATAGGTGTGCGTGTGTATTTAACAACAGATAAATAAGCTGATTTCTACTTTGAACAGCTTAAGGGAATCAGTACATGCAATCCAACGTTTCAAGATCTCTATTAGAATATGCTGAAAGGGCTCCAAACACAATTAACTTGCCTGGCTCATGCCCTTCAAAATACTTACAAACTAAGTAGGTCATGTGTAAAACTTAATTCCTAGCTACAAAATTCTGTATTATACAACCAATATGTGTATTAATTATTTTTTTTAGTCTTACCTAAAACAGTAACATTTTCCATTGCTAATTTGAAATGTAAGAATATTTCTCTTCAATACTTTTGAGGTTATCCAACATAAAACTCAGTTTTAACAGTTTCTACAGCTGTGAATATGAGCCATTTCTAATGTGGTAGTATGTTAGAAAACTGGAAGACGCATTAACATCATTCTACCCATGCAGCTCTTCCACTCTGCTGAGACCTTTCAGATATGGGTGTGGGGGATACGTGAGACGAAGCAACAGAGGCTTGTCCTCAGTTTGAGGAAACTCTTCCCTAAGAGATCTCAGCCTAAAGGAAAGAGTCGGAGAACAGATTTACTGCTTTCTTGTGTAATAAAAACACCTATTCAATTCTGCTTTTGAATTCACATTTCACTGTTGTGTCTCTGCCCACTGCTCCATTTCAACATTTTTGCCCCCACACACTTGTAGCTGAGCATTGGATTTCTTTTCCACAATAAGGTGGTTCTTCTATGCTGTTACTGCAGCAGTTTCAGTTTACAAAAAATAATAAAAGACAATAAAAATTACTTTTATACTCTTCTGTGTGCTTCATTTCTCTGCTTATGAATGAGAATGTAGTTTTTTGCAGGCATTTCACACATCACATTCAAGACCTCCTGTACACCTGCAGTATTACAAAATAGACACTAAGAAACTGGCACACAGAACAGAACCCTCTTTACTCATCCAACACGGTCCACAACTTTTAATGGGAACATCCACACAGATAAATTCCCACAGCATCTGAAACCCATGGAGTGCCTTCTGAACTCCAAACACCAACAGATTTTCCTATTGTCCCGACATTTGTGGCCTACCAACCAAAGCCGTCTGTGTTTCACTTCTGCATAGACTGTGTGTTTCACTGTCAGTCAAGCAACTCAATCCTCTGTAGTTGATCAAGAAAGCACGTTGTGAAAACCCCTTTTCAATAACGATTTATTCAGTGACTCCCCCACAACAAAACTTCCCTTTCCAGAACAGGCTAGCTTTTCACAGAACTCACTGTGTGGAACTTAAGTATACATTGATCTTTTTGCCTTCCTGATGCATATAATCCACCAGATTTATTTTAAAAATTACATTAGAGTTTGCCATGGGATTAAGCTTTAAGATCAGCTGAGATGTCTTGGTTTAGTGAAAAAACACGGGAAACATGAAATACTAATTTTCATTTTTCAGAGTCCCCACAATTTTTAAAATCAGTATATGCTCATTCATCTCAAGGTTAACTTTGAAAGCAACTGACAATTGCTATTTAGATGCTGCTACTTCATGTCATCTTAATTTACAAGTAGCATAGCCGTAATCCTCGTCTGTTAATTCTAGCAACATATTCAAGCAGCTACAGGGGAGCAGCTGGATGCTGAGTTCGGAGGTAGCCCAAGCCATCCAAAATAAATTCATGAAGATTAGAGAAAAGAGGTTATCAGCCATCACTTGCACTCCCAATGCACAAATCTGTCAACTCACCCAACCAACCCCTCTCCCCCAATTCAAAAACAGAAGTCTTCTCCCAATACGTATACACAGTTTCAAGCATATGCTTTAATGGGACTCAAGTAACTGCTGGCATGTGGCTGTTCACTCCGACTCCTGCTCCGACTCTGGGCCTAACGCGCACAACTCATGCTAAGGCTGGGTGTATGCTGGGAGCAGCACCGTTAGGCTAAAGCAAGAGCAACTTTAATGCCAGATGTGCGAGGCCTAATAATAATGAGGCCTGCTATCCCTGCAACTACTGCAAAAAGGTAAATGCTTTGAAGTTTCTGGTAAGACTGAAATTCCTTACGATCAACTAAACCCTTGCCCAGGAACTGAAGTGACCGATAGGGATAGTATACACCAAACTCCTGAGGAGGGTACAAATACTATGTCAGCTCACCCAAGCAGCCTTTGAAACGCACCCACCAGACGCTGGACTGCTCAGGCTCTTGTGCTTCCCTGGGTAACTCAGGGAACGCCAGCATCCTGACGGAGGAAGGCTGTACTCTCTCACCACCTGTTAGGTAACTATTTTGCTCATAAGAACCCAAATTACTGAACTAGTGAATTAAGTAACTAAAGAACTAACAATTTAGGCAAGTCTATAGAGCTGGGATTAACCTTGTTTGCTTCTTACCTAATAAGCTTGTAAAAATAAAGTCTGTCTCACACAGTACGCTGTCCTGTAAATTTAAGAGATCACAGTGAACAATGACAGGAGCAGGAGACATTAACTACATTGACAGCTGCAGAACTCAAAGCAAAAGTATTTTAAGTACTCCAATTAGCCAGTTTCTGCATCTCCAACTTTAAACTGTTCTCTATAGAAAGAGGTCTAGGAGGAGTTATCTTTCTTAGAATATATTTTTCCTTTTTGAAGTTATTTGATAGCTCATCTTTCTTACTTTTGAGATCCTGTTTTCTTGTTTAAAAAAACCCTTCAAGAGAATTACACCACTTTCCAGCCACAGAAAAACAGACACACTAATACTAAAGCAACTAGACACCAGAATTTTAAGAAATAGTAACTGTGGGATTTTCATAACCCTAAGTGTAAGCTGCTAAATTCTACAGGAACAGAAAAACAGACTGTGAAAGTCACCAGGACTGCAGGTCTTCAATACAGCATTTTTAAGCCACAGCTTCAGTGGCTTAAGGTTCAAGACCTTCAGGTCTTTGTAATCAGACCTTCAACTTTTATCAGCTTTTACAAAGATAATTGTACTTGAAGACTTAGTTAATTCATGGTGACCTGCCACAAGGTTTCAGAGTATGCTATGATTATGCTATCTGCACTATCCCAAAACAGCCAGCTCACTTGAAGTGTTTCTGGCAACTGAGTTTAAGACTCAAAGTATGTTCATGCTCTACAGGCAGCTACGTGAAACAAGAGCAAAAAAAAACACACACAAACAACACACCCCAAATCTTCAGATAAGAACGAACCTCTTCTCCATCCCTTAGTTCCATGAGGGAAAAGGCATTGTTCTTCAGCATATAGAATGGATAAACACCATCTCACTGAAGAACCGTAACAAAATTGCAGTAACACTCACCTGTCATTTGTATCTCCACATCCCATAGACTGGGCAGAAAGGAATACTTGCATTCCTTTTCTGCTTACACAAAGCAGCACGGGAATACTCTTCTCTGAGAAATGAAGCAGTTCAAATTAAGAGCCTCCCAGCTGTTTCCATTTGCCTTTGCAATAATGTCAACTTAGTCTTTCCAAAACCTGCTGAATTTGTTCAGGTCAGTTGCTCTCAGTCAAGCCATCTCAATACTGCATGATGCCAGCAGAGCTAACTCTTAGCTCAGAGGAAGGGGGGGAAAAAAAAAAAAAGAAAAAAGGGAAGGTGCTTAGTGCTAAGGCTCAACTTCTATTGCAGGCTTTGAACACTAAACCCCAGGCTGAAAACTTCAGTGCTTTTTAAGTCACTACTTCACTAAGCATTAACTCTAAATTGCTGCAGCAGCCCACTGCAGAACAGCAACCATCTGACCAGAGTTCCCCTAATATGAGACAGTAACTACTACAATTTTCTTGGACATGCACATTTTTGTTATCCAACTTCTCAAGAAGCACCTATTCAAAGATGATCAGGAAGTATGCCTGCTTTTATAGTTTCACATACTCCCAGTCACCACTCACCACTGCGGGTTTCCGGTCTATCAACTCATGAGTTTTTTTTACTACCTTTCTATGCTTTTCAGTGTCATCTACATACCATAGTTGGCTGAAAACAAACAGGTACAAGAAGTCTGTGGAAAACTACTAATTTCGGGGGAATTGCTGCAGGATTTGTATCACATTTAGCAGCCTTCTTAAAAAAAAAAAAAAGAAGAAAAAGCATTAGTACTACTTTACTGCTTAACTGGTTAATCAGAACACAGATTGATGACTAGCAATAGTGCCAAATTAGTTTTATGCTAGCACACCTGCAAGTTAGCAGTCTGGTATTTTTCTTTTCCCTAAAGGAAAGAGCTGGGTACATCTACACTTAGTTAACCATGCCAATATTACAGGCAACTCTGACTGTGGTGGCATACACAGCCTCTGAAAAACACTTTGGTACTCTATGAAGTAAGGCAATCATTTTGCTTCCTCATCTGTGAGGAAGACAGGCCAAACACATGACCGCAGAATACAACTTCTAATCATAACTGAACAAAGATTTTGTTACCTGCTAGATCTCTTAGAGACATGCTTAGTTCATGAGATACTTCAGCTAAAGCTGCTGTTAGTTGCCTTTAACATCAGGTGTTAAAGACATTAACACCTGATGCAAAAATTAAGATCGCCCTGGACACTTTCTACAACTGTCTGATTTGACAGTTGTACTGATCAGGCAAGTGTTCCTGCCCTGCTAAGTTTTTCTTACAAACCAAGATTTACTTCTTGAGTGGATCTGCTCATGATATGCTCTTGCACTTAGTGTCACAGCTCCCCTTCTACCTGTGGATTCTGAGCTACTTGTCCATTAACCTCTAGTTGATCAAGCTATTTAGCAGTACAGAGGGAAGCGGAACATAGTGCACATGGGAAGGGAAGCCCTTTAAACACTAAACATTTTAATGATAGTTCTCAGTGTAATGACATGTGAAGGGTGAAGTACTGCTAGCAGATCACTGAACTACTCCAGATCTACTACTAGATCTGAGCCATACCGTACCTTAAAGAGGTACTTACTCATGCGTCTTCCTCAACAGATTCAGAGCGAAAGTGATGCTTTAAATGCAAGCAGCAGAGATGAAGAAGCAACAAGTCCACTGTTAGAACACACAATCCACTCACATGAATACATGCAGAGAAGTAAAAGTACTGCATAATGAATGTATTTTGGAGCTTGATGCTACAAGATGGAAGTTTAACATAAGACAGTACAAAAGAAAAGTCCAAACTAAGCTTTTACACCTCCACATACCCCTTTTTAATATGTTACTTTGCACTGTGTACATGGAAAACAAAATAAACAAAAGGAACTTTAGCCAAACTCCCCTTCCTCCTCCAGCTTTATTGATAGTTTAAAATTACATTTTCTATGTTCTAGGACTTCAATTGCTTTTACCATCTTACTTTAAAAACTGATTACAAGCAAATGAAACTCAGTTGTCTAAGTGATATAGTATACAAAAATAACATCTTGATTTCTGTGAAAACGCATTTATTTGCAACTCCTGAATAGCTCCAAATTGTATATGCTATGAGCACTGATGTCTGGGTTTTGGATTTAGTTTATTTATTCAAAAGCTTCCATTACGTTCTGCATCTCCAACATGAACATCCATTGACTGAATTACTGTTACTTTTAAGTTTATTCCTGATTTCTCTCTCTCTCTCTCTCGCATGGCCATTAACAGGCATGTGCATCTTGTTTGTTTTATTTACTCCCACTCAGCTATATGCTCTAGGTAGGGCCTGATACAGATATTACTTGGTGTTAACAGCTACTGAGGTCAGACAATCCAAGGCCATTGTAATAAAATTAAAGTTATGAGGAAGTTTAAGACACTTCCAGGATTTCTTTCCTCCTGCATAGGATCACTTCCATGTAACCCAGAGAGGGTTTTGCTGGTCTGACTCAACTCTTCCCACTTCATCAATCCCTATTCACCAGTGGCACGGAAAGGGGGTTCTTTAACAAAGCATTATACATAACACCTCTACCAAACTAAACATAAACATTTTTGTAGTTAAATGCAGAAAGTTGATTTTTCCACCCCTTTCCTCCTTTTACACGGCAAGTAAAGCTCACTGGCCTGGGAGTAGCCTCTATCTGCCAACCTTTGGCCAGTGAAGAGGATTCAGAGAAAAATAATACAACCATCAATCAGAAAAAGGAGGGGCGACAAAGGAAAATAATTAGGCTGTAGCTTCAATTGTGCATTCCCGTGCAAGGTGCCCTGACTCGCCGCAGCGATAGCAGTTGACTTCACTGGTCTTGCTGCAGTTGATGGCTACATGGCCAGTTTCACCACACCTGGAAAAGCAAGCGATTTTAATCAAGACATTGAGAAAAGAACAACTCAGAAAATCCATCCTATTCTGCCAAGTGTACCCACTTAAAAATCCACGCAACACCGGTTCTGTTTTCAAGACTTCTGCTTCGGTATTCCAGAATCCTTTGACACTAGTCCTCGTCTCTACCAGGGCTAGGAGCAGTTTTCCCAACTGATCAACTCACATAAAACACCATATATGCCAAAGCCACCTTAAGTACAGAAGCTTACTTTAAGGTTTTGGCTGCCCCAATGCTTCTCCTGTCTGCAGTTCAGACTAGTTTTAAGAACAGCTGGTATGAACCCAAACGCACTATTTCCTTTTCACCCTCCTCCAAGGGAGGAAACTTGGAGAGGAAAAATCCTGTCCCAAGGAACACACCACGGTTAAGTATGAGCCTGTGTTCATAAATCAGAAAGCATTTTGAAGATTACTTTTCAAGATGATTTCCTGTAACTAGGGACTCCATGTATATTGCTATACAGAGAGGTCTACGTACATTCTAGCTGAGGCTAGTCAGCCATTTGTTACAGCTGCCGTTTGTTAGTTCCAGTTTAAGACAGTGGGTACTCAACTCTGGTTTAAGTTCTGGTGCTTCAGCCAAATACTTTGGCCTACCTTCTGTAAAAAAAATACTCCATCTCCCTGCGCAGTTTAAATGATCCAACAGCGTTGTTTTGGTCATCCAGATATGCGTTAACTGAATCTATTACCCAACTCTGCTAACAAGTTCTTCAAACCTTATTTCAGAACAATAGTAAATAATAATCTGAAGGAACATAAGCTTTTTTCTTTTTTAAAGAAAGCTTAAGCTTCATCTCTTAACTGAAATTAGACACAGAGCATCTGTCACTGAGGGTACGTTCCACACTTGCATCTTTCATCAATTCTTACCTATAGCATTTCACTTTGGTGCAGTCTTTTTGAATGTGTCCAAATTCTCCACAAGAATAGCACTTCTGCTCATCTGCATGGTCACAGTCACGAGCCAGATGACCAGGTTTGCCACAGTTGTAGCAGCACTGCTCTCTCTCCCTCTTCGGCTCCTTGCAGTCCTTCGCAATATGGCCACCTCTACCGCAGTTATAGCAGGCTTCCACAATAAGAAAAACATACCAAACAAGACTATAAAACCTTGGTAGACTGAGATGTAGCATGCTTCTAACAGAAGGAAATATTGTTTGTTTTCAGTGAATTATGATCAGTGTGTTAATTCCTTCAAGCCCAGAGCTCTGTCCATGCAAACGAAGATATATAATATTTAATGATACTTACCATCCTCCTGAAGATCACAGTCCTTGGCAAGATGGCCAGACTCACCACAGCGGTAACAGATGTCAGGGAGAGATGAAGACATGAACTGGAAGCCTGCTTGAAGTGGGTAACAAGAAAAAAAAATAAAGCTTACAGATCAAAGTAAAAATTAAGACACTGCCATTTGAACTTTACAAATCAGGCTGTCCCTCAGCCGTCCTTGGAACTTCAGAAAAATGGCCAATTTCTCATAACGAGGTAAGAATTATAAAATTTAGTACTATTTTGTATTGGAGTTAAGTTCTAATTTCTTTAACTGTTTGACTCATGTCAAACACAACCTCTTTTAGATACTGTTCAGGACAGTCAGCTAGCGAGATCTCACTGTACAAGTAAGCAGGAAAAAAAAAAAAAAATGAATTACCTCTGCCACGGCTTCTCATCCCACGACCACGGCCAATTCCAGTAGGGCACTCCCGAGCCCAGTGGCCAGTGCGGCCACACTTGAAGCACTCGTTACTGCTCATTGCTGCAGATTACTTCCCTGGAAGGGGGGAGGACATTTTGAGAACACCTTTTTCTCCCAAAGGCCACACTAAGATAAGAGATTTAGAGGTTTTCCTACCCTCCTGACAGAGGCAACTAGAGTTAGTTCCTAGCCATCTCAAACTTGTTCATACGCTTTATGATCATCTGTTACCTGGCATGACCACAGTAAGGACACAAAAGCATATCTTCGCTTTGCTCATAGTAAGGGCATGTTCTAACAGCCAGAGAAACAGTACACCTGACTTTTCCTCTAACCAGTTCTTGTAGTCAGTCTTCGCCTCAAAAACTGATTGAATGTTTAAGAGCGAAACAAGATGTCTTAACAGCCTTACTGTTGCTCTCTTTCAGTAATATATCTTCTCCTACTTTACCCGTCATAGTTAAGCTCAAAAGCCAGCTACTTTTCCCCACGAGGTTCTCTCTTCTAGGTAGTCTTAAGGTACTTTAAGTGTTTATCTGGCTGCTACTATATTTATTGACTAATCAAGCTACATTCTAGACGCTCATTGCAAGAATAGCCAATATTACAGCTAAGGCTTTAAAAGTGAGTTAGTTTAGTATCTGAAGACTTCAGTTCTTGTGTGATCTAAGCTAGCAAAAATTCAAACTAGTAATTTCAAAATATTAACTTGCAGTCCAGAAGGCATACTTCATTCCTATGTTTACATGAAGGAAAATGTTTTAAGATACATTCGGTACCCCTAGAAGACATCAGACGCTTGCCAGACATCTAGAAGGCTAACTTGGAAAACATTCTTAGAATGCTAAGGAAACATCGGATAGGTATGCCTGTCAGAGACAGTAGGAACAGCTTCTTTTGCCCATATTGGGGAACAGAGGTATGTTCCATTGAGCAGGAAAGCCAGTCTGCCACAGGCCACTGATTCAGTGGTTAGGACAGGGTAGATTAGTCTGTAATCACAGTACTGTAAGTCGTCTAAGCTGTAAAATTACGCAAAACTTCCAGAACTAGAAATACAACAGCAAAGTTATAACACACTCCAATTTCCATGGCTAAATTGGCTTGAAGGCAAGTTTAAAAAGCCCTAGCTTAAAAACAGGCTCTCAAACTTTGCTTTGACCGACCCTCCTTACACACTCTACACATGTGCTCTCCTCATTCATTCTTCCTAACCCACCAGTAGTATGGCAGTATGATACACCAAGACCTGGGAGGTTCACAGCAGAACCATTACCTGGCATGTTTTGTTAGCTTACCTGATCCCCATCACAGAATTAAACCTCCTGTAACACCGCATTTTACTCGTGTTACAGAGTTCTTTCTAGTATTTTACCTCTAGGCTTTTCTAAGTTATTTCATATGTTCCTATAGCAATACTTTCAAATATGGGCTCAGAACTTAGTATGCTTACAGAACTAGCAACCTACTGAAAAACTAATGTTGTCCAGCATCCTGAATTACAGGGATCATGCATGAGTGTCTTGAAGGCAGTCAATCCAGAAACAGTAAGAGCATACAGCCATCAAGGAGGAATGAGCGTCCCGACACTAGATCTTAATTGGACCGTGTATATCTAAACATGGATTTTTTTTTTTTTTTAAGAGCTCTTTTTGAAGTACTCATATGTTGAGAAAGTTACTGTGGTGGCTTTTTGGCCATTTCTTCCTCAAAACAGATCTTCCTTCTCTTAATATTTTTCTTCTGCAGAGGAGCGACCATCCATCCTTCCAACCACAGTAGACACCTGAGAATTTAAAGCGCTAGAAAAACTTTAGCATGCTACTTCTGTAATTTCACATCTAGCTTCCAGCTCGACCAGGTGATCAACTATTATTTGCTTTTAAAAATGAAGTTTTGCAACAAAAAGATGTCAGAAGATCTTAAATAGATGTTCGAAAGTATAAAACAAGTGGTTATATGACCATTTAAGAAATGTTACAGATACTTGGATTTCATACATATCCTAGTCTTCCCACATCCTAGCAGGTATTTACTGTTTCATCTCAATAATCAGGATTTCAAAGCATCTTATCAGGACACCCAAAGGTAAAGGAAGAGCTGTCTACTATGGTGGCATCAGCTGCCATTCAATGTGCTATTGTTTATGCCCATTTTCATGGCAACCATATTGACACTGCAGAACAGGAACACACAGGCAAAGCCAATTGCAAGAGCTAGGCACCACAGCAGTTGATGCTACTTTTAATTTCAAGAGGGACAAGATGGGCTCTCTAAACTACAGCAAGCTATATTTTCCTCACCCAACTCTAAACTCTTCAAAAGTCCTCACACTAAAACATTACAGAACAGTGACATAAAGCCTACTAAAAAAACAGAACTGCAACATTTACAGATGAAGTTAACAGCTACCAGACTTTCATCCAAACCTTGCACCTGGGACTACAGCACGAAGTGACAAGATCAAGTATCCCTGATAGTTACCCTTACCAAGAACCTAACACGACCACTTTAGTTAACAAACGGTTGAAAACAGTGCTTAAGCGATCTAGACCTCCTTTAAACATACATCAGAGACTGATCTCAGTAAAAAAAACTTTTGTTGGTCTACACATCAAGTAAGGATCAGGATCCACATTATGAAAAAAAACTCACTCACTGCTTCAGAGGAATCTAAAAAGAAGTTTTGCATCTAAATCAAAGTTGTCTCCTTTTTAACTGCTCCCCCAAGAGAAAAGCTGACGTTTGTTTTCCTCTGATAGATAGCAAATGGATAGAGTAAGATGAAGCAAACCGAGTAAGAAACCCAGGAACAGGCAAGTTGCCACTTGTCTCCACGCAACTATCCCTCAAGACTAATCAAGAGAGCCATTTAAAGACATCTAGCTTCAAAGGTCCCTATTCCCTCCCCCTCCCCCCCCAAAACCTCTCTCACGGAGATCTTTGGATTATAGCTGCCAAAAAAGTATGATTACTGAGCATGCTGCTCCATCTTCAGATATTTCAAATGCATGAACCTGAACAGTCTGCCTGGTATTTCTCTTCCACAGTAATTTAGTGTCTGCAGTCTTCCTGGAAAGAACCCGAAACTGAATTCAAATTTACCATATAGAGGTGGATGTAGCTGACACTATCCTTGGTAAAGCTCTCTGGAATGTGGGACAAATAAGAGTAAAGTTTATCACTGACATAAATGTGCTTCCCCCCCTCCAAAGGGGGAACAATTTTCAGACATAGCCCATGTTCACTTTCAAGGAGCTAAATCCAGGAGACAGTCCAGAACACAAGTCCTTTAACAGTTACCTTCAAAACAGTTTGGATACCTTTTTCAGCTATTTCAAGTGAACAATGAATACAGTTAATAAAACAAGCTCAAACCCTCCCTCCCCTGTTAGTCAATACTTCTCCATTTTGTCATCACAGACGAGTCTTCAGTGATTCCTTTTACTTTTATCTACCAAGGCCACCTAAGTAAGCCTTCTAGAATAAAACTGCTTGTTTAAGTTTTCTTGGAAAGCTTTCTACTCACTGACAAGTTCAAAGCTTTTCGAAATTAAAATACGTTATACAAAGCAGTTCCCTCCCCCTCCCCATCCCAGAACTCGATTTTTACCTCGCCACAACAGGAAAAGTAGTAATGGAAAAGAAAAGAGAACCAAGGCTTCATCTACTGTGTTTGAGCCAGGCCAATTTCTGTAAGATGCACAGAGTCACTGTCATACTGACCAGATTCCAGAAGTCTGGAAGAAATAAGATTCCAATTCCCTTAGCAGAAGGGTAAGGCTTGGGAGCAGAAGGTAGCTGCTTACCAGGACCCCTTATACAGAACTCCTTAACTGTAGTCTGAAGATGAAATAGACCACCTTGCAGCTAGCCACCAACTCATATTAACAAGGAATTTGAAACTTAGTTCTGCATGACAACCCTACTATTGCATGGGCTGACAGCACCCGACAGCGTCAGGTGCCTCTGCAGTAGTTTCCTGCGTTAGATTTGAGCATTTCCCCAGTTCGATTCCAGTATCGGACTTATTTTTTTAGACCAAGTGATAACAAAAACCACAATGAAGTTCTCTTCCCGTACTCATTTGTTTTATGGCTTTTACTCTAGAGGAAAAAAAGTTGGCTTTAACAGACAAAAGCACAGCTCAGCCTTTAACTTGGGCTCCTCGTAACAGTGGGGAAGTCAAACTTCATCAACTATCCTCCTAAGTTTGGAGATTCGAAGAGAAGAAAAACAGGTTCTTGGCAATTCGCAAGTGCCAAACACCTACTCCAGCTATCTGGAAGACATCTATCTGGCTCTAACCCCCAAGCCTGCAAATGAGCTAACCTGTTTTGAAGTTGGAGCTTATCCAGAACAACTTCAATCAATGCAACAGGGGGCAGAAGTTTAATCTTTTGACATCACCTTTTATCATGTGGAAAAAGAACCCAATTTAATGGGCTCTTTAATATTGCCAATACAGACAGGACTCAGCGTTGCTGTCAGAAACTGAGCTACTCCACACTACGACAGGAGAATTTATGTGAATGAAACCACTAGGGAGGAAAGATCAGGACCACGTAACTAAGCTTCACTCTAAACGTTAAGTTCTGCTCTGCCTGGTTTAGGCTAATTTAGGGGTTCCTCCTCATAGAATTGATTTTAGATCCATTTACTGAAAAACTGCCAGTTAATATCACCTCTCAAATGCATTTGAGATCATAGTTTTAAAATATGGAAAGTGGGAAGTCATGAACACTATCAAGACTATAACGCTGAATACGAGTTATTACCTCCTGGAGCTAAGTGAATAGGTGGATTTCTCTGCACAAGCACTGTTTATGAGGGACAATGTGAAACATGAGTTACATAAAACTAGCTAGCTGAGCAGCTTAGTAGGCATTAGAAAATTGTTGCAAGGGCAAATGACACTCACTCAGACACTCCTCTGAATACTAGTAGTTCCTCAGAATTCAACTGCTTGCTAACAGTAAAAGCCCAATAACAAGAGCAATTATCTTCACTGTACTTACCAGGTGCTTCCTTTGATCTACAAAAGGAAAAAAAAAAATCACTTCCATTTAATACTAACAGGACTTTCCGCCTTCAACCAAAGGCTAGACTAGACTAAAACCACTGCTAAAAAACAACATACTTGTTAGAAAGGTCTTTTGCGAGTCAGCCTAAGGGGGAAAAAAAAAAAAAGCAGCAAACACTGAGAAATCAGCACTATCTTTCCAGTGCTACCTATTTAAGTATGACAAGTCAGTCTAGAGCCAGCCTGAACATGGCAAAAAACAGTATGTAACAAGAAGAGGAGTTTTGCTTTCCTAAAATTTACTCAAATGGAAAAGTAAAAAGGATTACTAACAGAAACGATAACATTTACAGTTTCAGAGCAGTAGTCAGAATAGTTAGGACATACAATGTGACTGCTGCCAAAACTACCAAGTACTCAATTAGTTGAACTTCCATACTTTTAATCTGGAAATACGACAAAGAAATCGATTCTTAAGTCAGCGATGATCCTGTTTTCAGCTTCCGTCCTTACTAGAAAGGATATAAAATTAAGTACTTTGACCACCAAGTAACAAGACTCCGGTTCTGAAAGGAGCTAGTTTGAAGCTTCAAGAAAACCTGCAAAAGTTGAAAGAAGAGTTCTGAACTCCCTTCAGGTCCCTTCAACACATTCCATAGGCAAGCTAGATCACCTGATCCAAGAATGTTAACATTAACCCAAAACAAGAAGCAACAGTAACTAAATTGAAGGACTTGGACCCCTATTAAAGGGTTAGTATCCAAGCCAAAAAAGATATCAAGACTGAGATACTTTAACATAGACTAGTAATTCTGGGATAGCCTTGTTGACTAGAATTAAGAAACAGAGATAAAAGTAATCAAAATTTGATTCCGCAGCTCTTTCTGCCCACTTCTACTAGTTACATACAGGGTAAGAGAAACTGTAGTACACCTACCGAGTACACACATTCCACAGTCTCCCCTTTCGTTTTTGTAACTATCTGGACAAAGTTTTAAACTTAGACAAGCAAACGGCATCAGCACACATGCAAACTCTTTAACATTAAAGCCAGTCTAGAGGCTAACAAAGTTAGTTGGGGGGGGGGGGGGAGAAGGGGGAGGGGAGGGTTCTTGTGCAGCCCTGGTAAATTTATTTAACCTCTTTATTTTGAAAACGGCAACAGAATTACTTCCCTAGGCCAGTTAGGGGCAAAGAAGAAAACACTGAGTAGGCAACTCTAAACTCTGCGGCAATAGGATCCAATTAAATGCTGAAATGAAAATAAAGCCTGCTATTAAGTTTAATAATTCCTTGTGACAGTTCTAGACACTAGGTGAGTAACAGCAGTTACTTGGGAACTACATCGAACAGGAACTTAAATAAAACGCTGCTCCACTAGTTCATGCTCTGCAGATGTCACAGACTATTTTTCCTATCCATTTATAGGTCACGTATGGATTTGGAGCAGGCCACCATCCATGCCTGCGGTCGGAGACAAATAGTTGCAACACCTCGACCCTCTCGTCTCCGGCAGAGCCTAACACGTGGGGGAGCCACGTGGTGCGCTCAGGCCAAGGCCCCGCAGTTACCTCTCCGCCAGGCTCTCCACTCAGTCACAGCAGAAATGGCAGTTTAGTACAGATTTTAAAGCACTTGTTAAAAGAGAAGAAACAATTTTATTTTAACCACCTCCCACCCAGCCCCAGATCTCCCAAGTGGTTTCTCTTCCTCAAAGTTACTACAGCCAGTCACCCATAGGGAAGTTACTCATACAACCCAAGCCGAGTATTAAGACTCGAGCAGGCGCTTTCCCCCGCCCCACACCGCCAAACCGACCACGCGAAGCGTTAGCTCCG